GCTTTTGGAATTAAACAGTAAACCCAGGAAGAAGCTCCTGCCTAGTTCAACGACCTAATCATATCCATAAATACAACCACTGACACTTAAATAAATAAAAGAGAAGAATAAACACAGGCCATAGGACTTAACTGGATGGTTAAGGTGTGGAACTATGGACTGACATTAGGTATGGATGCCTAGAGCGGTTGCAATGCAATTAGATACCTGCAAACACTGGGCACTTGTACGTGTTGAGCAGTAGTGAACGTTACCACCACTGGACATTTTCCGATTGTGGATATCAGCTGTTGGTGGGGACTGTCACTGATGGACATTAGGTACTGATAAGTGTTAGGTGTCAGTGAACATTGGCTCCCTGGTGAGCATTGGCCAACACAGAGCACTGAGCACTGATGGGACAAGGCCCTGTTAACCTATGATGACCTTTACCATCATGGTGGACATCAGGTAGGAACAGAGGGTAGGCCTCTGCCCCAGACATGCCTGGCGGCCTTGCCCAGAGACACATCCTGTGAGCTGGTGCGGAAGCATCTCTATCTCCATCCGCCCTTTCTCTCTGAGAGCCTTTGGCCGTGACAGTTTGGGGACTTCAAAGAGGTGGTATGGTAACACCCATGGAGGGAAACTCCTTGGCTCCCAGAGGGATGGGGTTACACACAAATCGACACAGACTCTCTTCTGCCATCCTGACCAAAATTGGGCGTTGGCTCCTTCCTTCTCCGTAAATGATGTGACTGAAGCACAGCAGGGCTGGCTTCGTGGGCGGTGGGACATTAGAAGGGTCTTGGGCTTGGTTTAACGCTCTGCTCTTGCCATCCCGAGATTCTTGAATGAGTACCCATATTGTCACTTTACATTGGGTCGCACGAATTGTGTAGTCAGTCCTAAAGAAAAGAATCCTGGTCACCTGCCATGCGACCTTGGGCTTCTCTTCTCTGGGCCTGAGTCTCTCCCTCTGTGAAATGGGGAGCAGGAGGGGAAGAACTTTGACTTGGCTCTTTGGCTTTTCATGCTCTAGGGTCTAGAATCAGGGGTCTGATTGGAGACATTTAGAGTTGCATAACTTCCCCAGTGTACTTTCAACAGGAAAATAAATGGGATCCCAGTGTTGTTTTGGTTTCTGCCTGTGCTGTGATGACAAACTGTGCCTCAGTCGTCTGCCCATCCCTAAAACCTGACTGGCATGTGTCTATGTCCGGCACACAGAGCAAAGATCCTGTGGATTACTGTTCTGCAGCTACAATCCCGAACCTTTATGACACCCTTCGGTTCTGAGTCAGTTATCAAAACAGGAGTCTCAGACCGCATGATTCTCTGACCTATTTCATAATTCTGTGATTGAGTGAAGGAGGGACCAAGCATTTATGGAGTGTCTATTTTGTGCCAGGCACTGTACTCGATTCTTTACAAACATTACTTCATTTGCTCATTCGGTCCTGTGGAGGGAGATATTTTCATCCCCATTTTCCAGGCCTAGAAAGGAACAGTGACTCGGCCAAAGTCACACAACTGGTTCGTGATGGACCCAGGATTTTAATTACCCCTTTTCTGTGAACTCCAAAATGGAATCTTTGCACTTATCCCTCTAATTCTGTAATGTCCTCCTTCTCGGCCCCAGGATCCCAGGAGGGCGGACTGTAGCAGCATGAAGGCGGTGTGGCTACGGGAAGGAATGCTCGCAGAAGGAGTGCTCGCTCGCCTGCAAGCTGCGCGACAGCTCGCTCCGGGGTGTCTGGCCATGCGTGGCCACGTGGTGGCGCTGCGGACTGGGAGCCTCCGGAGGGGCACGTGGACGCGGGGTTAGGTGAGGGCCGCTGGCCCCCGGGGCTTTGGCTCTCCCAAAGGCTTGCAAGAGGCCGGAGCTGCGGGATGTGCGGGGTAGTGCCCCACAGGGCGGGGGAGCCCCACAATGTGATGGTCCCATCCTCACCATAGAGCTTCATACCTGCCGATTTTGCGGATGTGAAGCTCCAGCTCAGGCCAGAGGTGACCTGCCCCGGAAGACACACTCACATGTCTCCCGCAGAAGGCTCGGCCTCCCCACGGTGCCTTTGTCCCCATTTGAAAGACACCTACGTTCCATTCCCTCTCTCCCCCCACGACTCTTCTTCAAGGGGAACTTTGGGGAGGGCCCAGTGTCACTGGGCGAAAGCCCCTGGGATCCCTTCCCTGCCCCTGCACTTGAAGGCTCCCCTATCCCAGGAGATGAGAGAAGGGTGGAGAACCAATCTGAGAACTGTTATCTATGACCATATTGACTGATGGGTGCCAGCCTCCAGCTCCTGGAGCCCAAGCCTGGGGGGCCTAAGTGGCATGATGGGCAAGCTTCCCAGTAGCCTGAATGTTCTAGGTTCTGTGCCATAGCTCACCTGTGACTCCCTCCTCCTAGGTGCCATCCTCTTCTGTCCAGGTCCATTTGTTCTTCTCAGCTCTGTGGACCGGCCTCCTCCAGGAAGCCCTCCTAACCCTGCCCCGGCAGGCTCTCACAGCTACCTGCCGCTCAGGTATCTTCTGTGTGTCCTTCTCACTCACACCCCAAGAACAAGATTCCCTTGGCAGAGTAGATATCAGAAAAAACTGGTCATTGTTGGTGATGATGGTGATGGATGTTCCCGCAGACCTTGGCCAGTGAGAAGGAATAACTTACAGACAGCGGAACCATTCAGATGAACTGGAAGGGAGTTCCCTGCGACTGGAAGTGTGCAAACAGGATTTAGGGTACCACAGCAGGCAAAGTGCCAAGAAGTCACAAAATACTGCAGCAGCTCAGAGGAGGGAGGGGAGGGGGTCTTAGGGAAAGCTTCTGAGGTGAGGCCGGAACTGGCGCTATTAGGGTGGGAAGGAGCTGAGAGGCAGGG